GAACCCCCCAGTGTGGTGGTAGTAGCACTCCGATCGCACTCCTTTTGGCTTGTCAACATACAAATGCGTGCAATCTATCGTGCCTACACAACCGGCGAACCCTTTTCTCTCGAAGCCATTCTGCACGTCCTCCAACCGTTGCCCTGTGGGGAACCGCAGCAAATGGCCGTACTCCGGAATGATTGCGTCGGCCACTTCCTCGTTGCTGCGCAAAGCACTTGCGAGGCCGATGCCCAAACTGTGGGAGGACTGCCTGTAGTAACCGCCAGTAGCCCATCTCATCAGAGCGCATGCAATCTTTTGTCCAGCGGGTATTGGCAATCTGTAGTTCGTGGGCGACCGCTGGATATGGGGATTGACGAGAGCAAGAACTTCGAAGAACGGGGGTCGTGGGAGTCTGCAGAACCAACGGAAAACCTTGTCATGCTCAGCCCCTACTCGCTGGAGATCCTTCCAAAGAGCGCCGCTACGCTCCAACACCCACAGACGATGTCTGCGGTCCATTGTCCTCCCCGTTCCTCCACCGCCAACGAACATAGAGCAAAACCGTGCAGCAGCCCCCCCGCCAGCAGTGTAACCGCAGCGGAGATATTTTGGTGGACAAAAGGCATCAACGATACCACCTCCACAACTGCCAACGCTGCCACGTTTCGTCTGTTCACCCACTGGAAGAGGACGAAAAGCAGCATGCACATCGCATCCTCAGTTTCCTGACTATTCATCCCACATCCTGACTCCTCCATGGCCATCGTCCACTACAACCTCCAACACGTCCACTGACATAGCTCAAAGCGATGGCCGCGTTCCAACTCTTGCACAGCCACCCGCACCGCAACACTGCGGGAACGCTGGATATGCACAAGTACCTCCCACACGAACCCCATAATTTTGAATTCTGGGGGTGACCTGCAACGACACGTCCCAAAAAAAATGTCGTTGCTACTTCCGTCGCCTGTTGCTCTGGGGCGCCGCATCGGGACTCCGAAAACCGTCGCACGGTGCCGTGGACGGCATGCACCGTCACACACGGACAAGCCAACCTGAAAGACCAGCATGTCCGCTGGTCCATCCAGGACGCCCGTTCTTTCCTTTTCGGGAGGGGACCCTCTCGAGTTTCCTAAAACGGCAAGCCGGGCCGTTTCCAAAAAATCGCCAAAAGTTGGCGGTGGGGTCTGCACGAATCGTGGCAAAAACTTTCCACTGACGTTGGCTACCAGCCGACTGCCAACTTCCTTTTCCAGCCGCCGGGCGGTGGGGTCCAAGCCTTAGTGTGGGGCAGTTTCTTTAACTGCCCTATTTTATTTTTATTTTTATTTTTCCCAGCTATCTCGGAATCTCACGAGATAGCTGGGTTCCTGCCATTTACAAAACGTTTTTTCTTTTATTTTTTTGATAAGGGGTTGGAGAGATACAACCCCTTACAATTCGATGTACCTAGACCCTTTTCCCAGGGCAGATACATCGAGGAAAAGGCTGCACTTGACCTTTTCCTTTTTATGACCCCTCAATTTCCAGGCTCCCTTCAAAAACGGGAGCCTGACAGTTACCTCTGGCAGCTTCTGCCAGAGGTAGCACTTGTCCTCACGAAACGTAAAGTAAAAAAAAAAAAATTAAGAAAAAAAAGAAAAGAAAACTTTAACCCCTCAACTGCAATGCTCTTGACCGTGATTTGAGCCAGGAGCATGCAGTTGTTTGTCAACTGCCTGTCCCTTTCCTCTGCTGCCCTCCCCTGAAAATGGGGAGTACAGTTGTCACGTTGGGAGTAGTAGGGAAAGAACTTGTGAAAATTCACGAGTTCAAATCCCGACAGGCTCAGGGCGGGGTGCAAAAAGTACCCCGACTTTGATGAATTTTAGAAAAATATTCGCTGAATAAAAAAATCTAAAACAAATCATGCACACGGCCTAGGTGGCTGACTACCTACAGAAAAAACAATCAAGGTCAAAAAAATTGTTTTACGCCAACAAACAAATAGTGGCGCAAACTGAAAAATACAGCTTTTCAAAAAAAAACTCAGATCCCGTTTTTCGTTTTTTTTTTCTTTTCTTTTTCTTCTTTTATTTTATTTTCTTTTTCTTCTTACCCCCCTGACAATGGGGAGGCAGCTGGTAGGTCGGGAGGAGCAGGTCCTCCTCTCCCCATCCTCCCATTTCTCTCTCTCTCACTCTCCACTCAACTCGTCCAACCCCCTCTTGCTTTTCGCGTGTGAATTGTGGGCCGCGAGATCTCAAGATCTCGCGGCCACAGTCATCTGTCCAAAACGAAGTGGGAGCCTTTGTGCTCCCACACAGCCTGCAAAGAATGTTCTTTTGGTTGTTTCCCCCCTTTTTTTTTTCTTTTTTTTTTACTCCGTTGGCTTCGCCAACTGTCACGTCCCATCGTGACCTGCTATGGCACATTGAGGTACAAACCTGGGTTCAAATCCCTACCGGGATTTTGGACCATTTCTCGATTTATGGTGTCATCCTTGCGTAGGGGTCATGCTGCAGCCACGCGGCCGTTACCGGCTGTGAGATTTGATGATCTCGCTGCCGAGAATGACCGCGCTTCATGCTGGTGCAGTGGGCAGTTCCAAAAGAAAAGGAGCTAGCCTAGACTGCTTATCGCCTGCTCGATCCTAGCATCTGCATGTTGAAAATCCGATGCGGTGCCTACTGGGCTAGGTCTTATCACTGGAGCTAGAACAACAACCCTTCCACTTGAAGGGTTGCGTCCAGCAGGTCGTCTGCATTCTGTGGCTCAGCAGACTTTGACTGCCTGAGGCATTAGGCCCTGTCGCCGCATTCCCATAGATGGCAGCCCGTCCATGGCTAGGCCTCGGCACCGGCCTGTCGGCCCCTTAACTCGAAAAACCCGTGGGTCCGAGAAATAGAAAGAAACTTTCTATTCCTCCTGCGTCAGGGCCCCGTACTCGACGCGCCGTTCTTTTCAGCCTACCTAGGCCCAGAATTGAGCGGCTTAGCAGCCGCGCGTCGGTCTTTTAGGAAGAATAGTCTAGTTTCAGTCTTTCCACGACCATGTGCCCCTGCGGCCCTGTCGGGAACTGCAGACGACAGGTCGTACCGCCAACTCCTACTGTTTCATTCGGACGTCAACGACGTCAGGTTCTAAAAAAGTTTAAGACTCAATCATAGGGTTGGTCTGAATAAACTTTTTGGCAAACGTCAGTCTCATCAAGTTCCTCAATTCAACAAAAGAGTCGGACAGCGTTGTCGAGCGCATCGGTCTGGCACCGCACAAGGGCAGCGCGGGACCCTCCCGGCCGCGTCACGCAAGAGTTAGTCTGAATCCTCGTCGCGAATGTACATGGAGCTTCCGCAAGCCGCTCCGCCCGAGTGCGCCAGCCATACCTCTCGCGAGCCCCTACGGCAGGACAGGGCCTACGCGAGGCACGACTTACCTCCACCTTACGGGAGCTGTCACCTCCCTTCGGTGGGCGTATCCCCGCCGAGCTACCAGTCCACAGTACTAAAGTTGATCAGTTGCAATCGCAGAGGTGGACCAGCCGAGGGCGTTTCTCGTTCGCTGTAGCATAGGGGGTACGTGCGGTATTACGCCTCTATCGGACCCGTACGCGAACCGACATCTTGAGGGGTTGAAGTCGCAGGCGCGATTCGTCGTCGATCGACTATGACGTATCCCACTCACCACGCGCACACTACTCTAACACATACAAAAAGTGCACATACACACACACACATATACAGGACGACACCAGGCGGACAACGAGAGAACACTCCTAGTCCCTTAGTGGCCGCCCCATAACTCTCTGATGCGGAAATCGGATAAGCGTCGTGCGCGAGACTTAGTATAAGACTAGGGCGGTCGCAGGGCCAACTCATATCGATTCGCAATGCAAGCGTACGCAAGCGATCGCAATGATGGCGTACTATGTAGTACCCATACTCACGCGGTCCTTGTTAATCTCGAGGGTCGCATTCGACACTCAAGTGTCGGCTGACACGCGCCTTGAGGGTTAATCTCTCGATGCTGGACAACCGCCAAGTGCGGTTGAAGACCACACCCTCTTCTGCACCCTGCGGAGAGCGGGTGGTACACAGGTTCATGCCTCTGGTGATTGTCTCTTACGGCCCTGGAGACCAGCTCCTTCCCCTAGGGCCTGGAAGCGAGTCAAGGGGTTTGACTTTGACGGCTGCCACAGACTACAACGTCCAACTACAACAACTCTAAAAAGCAAGTATAGGCCGAAGGCCTCCCAGTCCCAAAATCACAAAACTTGGGTATCCTTTTCGATGGGCACCAGCGGCCTACTCTGATTCTGAACGCACGCGCATGTGTGCGAATCCCTTTATCCCATAACTCTAGACATTAGGACGGCGAAACGTCGCGTGCGAGATTTTGATATAAAGTTGCGCGGTTGCAGGCCTGTCCTATACCAACCAGCGATGCTAGTCATACGCAGTAATCGCAGTTTCGGCCTCACGATATTGAATGACTGAACGAATATTTCGTGGGGGGTTACCCTTTACGATATTGAACGGCTGAAGGACATGCCGTTCAGCCCTCGCGACATTTTTGCCCTTAGGGTTGGGTGTCTCGATGGGCAGGGCAGATAGGCTCTGCGCGAGGGAAGGCTCCTCCCCTGCAGAGTCTAGGGCTTGGGATGTCCTGGACAAGGACCTTGAATCCCGGCCCAGGACCAACGTCCGATTAAGAACTCAGAAGAAGTATACAATCAAGAGGAGGGGTTTTTCTGCCTACCTCAACCCCTATGTAACCCTTAATACGCTGGCCCTTTGGGCCATGCGGACTTCCAACATAGGTAAACACATGTATATATATACAAGGGGGGGATAAGTATGTGACGATCACTTCTCACAATCACAGTGGGGCTCCTCACAACCATATGTATATGTGTGATCGCAGGCAGTAAAATCCAAAATCCGAACCACAGAACATGCCTGCAATCACATCAAAGAATCAAACAAGGCCCACACACTACACGGAGTCAACCCCAACCACTCTCCATACTCATACACCTCGCTTTAGCCATGCAAGCCCCAACCTCGTGTCCAACCAACCATAATTAAATACTCAGTACCTTCGTTAAATGGCCATTCAATAAAGTCCGGGTGAAACCTTAACAAAACAATAAAAATCACCAGGGCTAAAACCTTTTTAGGTTGAGTATTGAGGGTAAATTGGAATTGAGTCATAAACCGACGAATCGGCAACCGACCTCTTATCAGGGATAACAGAAGGTGATCCTCAAGGGATCAAGCTGAATCTAGTCCAAGTCCTGAATCAAATCGATTATGACGACCTGTAACACAAGACAGGTCGATGCCCAAGACCAGACCTATGAGTCCAAGGGGAATAAGCTTCATATCACGATCTCACCCAAGCTTCTGTTAGTTAACTACGTCTAAGTCTGCCTCTAAGTCAGTGCCCTGAAGGAAGGTAGAATCATGGCTGAACCTCTCCTATCGATGATGGATTACCAGAATCGCCACCTGTCAAAATATAATTTAACTCCACTACTGGGTAGCACGGTGTACACGTACGCAGGCTCCGCATACGTGTCGCATACGTATGCGCTCGTACGCAAATTTAGGGCCCGCGTACGTGGTCACAACGGGTCGTTTCCCGGGTTTGTCTGGGTCCGGTAGGGGTTGGGGGG